ATTAATATGGCAAATGTAAATATATAAAAATTGCAAAAAAGAGAATGTTCAAAAGATATCTAAAAAAAAAAAAAGAAAAGAAAAAGAAAAAAAAGAGAAGAAATAAAAAATAGCCAACAAATCTGATGAAAAAAAGAAAAAAAGAAGAAAAATAATAATAATAATAATAATAATAATAAAAATAATTCTAAATAAACAATAGAAAATCGATAGAAAAAGCTGATACAAATGTAATAAATGTAATCAAAAGAAAGAGAGAGAAAAAAAAGGAAATATTAAAAGGAAAAAAAAAAAAAACTTAAAGAAGATCAAAAGAAAAAGACTTTTCCGCTTGAGAAATGAATACCATCGACAATAACGATTATATAATAAATCATATCATAGAAAACAAATATTGTCTTTGCTTGAACAAAATATTGGTTATTAAAAAAAAGAAAAAAGAAAAAAAAAAGGAAAAAAAAGGAAAAAAAAAGGAAGAAAAAAAAACAAAAGAGATAAAAAAAAGGAAAAAATTACTATAATCATCAATATATGTATACATACATACATATATATACATGTACACACACACACACATATATACATATATATATGTATTACTTCGTTATTTCACAATTTTCTCGAAGAAACTTATGCGATCGAAGAGGTGAAAGTATAGAAACGGTAAATCGTGTTCGCATTCGCGTTAGAGCCGCAATGCACGAGGTAGAATAGGAATGAGGGTGAGGGTGAGGGTGAGAGCGAGGGTGAGAGTAAAGGTGTGGGTGTGGGCGAGGGTGAGGGTGAAAGGAGTTCGTACCAGGATGTGCAAAGCAACAACTGGTTAGTGGTACCAATGGGTACCATCTAAGAACCCAGCGAACCTTCGTCAACGGCAACCCTCTCTCTCTCTCTCTCTCTCTCTCTCTCTCTCTCTCACTCTGACTCTGACTCTCTATTTCTCTCTCTCTCTTTCTCTTTGTCTATGAACTCATCGACGTTGTTTCGAACGTCCCCTAAATTCAGACTTTTTCTTTTTCTTTTTTTTTTCTTCCTTTTTTTTTTCTTTTTTCTCTTCTTATTACTTCTCCGTTCAAATCGGAGAGAAAATAAATCGACGAACATAATCGTCTATAGTGTCCCATTTACATATCATTATGGTTACTATTATTATTATTATTATTATTATTATTATTATTATTATTATTATTATTATTATTGTTGTTGTTGTTGTTGTTGTTGTTGTTGCTGTTGCTGTTAGTGTTGTTGTTGTTATTATTACGATGAACGATAAGGACAATGAAATGGGATTGTAAAATTGAGAATGTCAATTTTGGATAGATCTCGAATTTTCTATTTTTTTTTTGTAATTTAAAAACGTAATTTAAAAAAGAAAAAGTATATGTATATATGTATATAAATGTTTTTCTTTCTTTCTTTTTTCTTTTTTCTTTTTTTTTTTATTTACGAAAATTGAAACTCCCGATTTTTTTCTCAAACTTTTCTCTTCCTCGAAATAATATAATATAGAAATGTAAAATTTTTTACTAACATATATTATATTATTATGTATCATATACACATATATTATTATTATTATTATTATTATTATTATTATTATTATTATTATTATTATTATTTATAATTTTATTAAGTAAGATAATTATTTAATTAAATTCTTAATTTTAAAACATTGACATGCTAAAATGATCTATTAATTTAATTTTTCTTTATCTAATAAATTAAATCAACTGTAAAATAAAATATATGTATATATATATATATATTTTTTAATTTTTATTTTTATTTTTACTTACGAAATCCATTGATAAATCGCCGAAACGGTTAGTTCCCCTCTCTCTTGTAGCGCATGTTCGATTAATTCGGTATAAGTGAACGGTGGCTTTTTCGGACAATTATTATTATTATTATTATTATTATTATTATTATTATTATTATTATTATTATTGTTGTTGTTGTTGTTGTTGTTGTTGTTGTTGTTGTTGTTGTTATTATTGTTGTTGTTGTTATTGGTAGACGAAAAATCTTGATGATGATTATTAATGTCCGAATTAACGTATGAAGATTTCTGATTAGTAATCGTTGAATTATCTTGATTATTATTATACAATTTTTTGGAATCTATCGTATAGATCATTGATCCATTACCACGATGATTATTATTTCCTTTATTTTTATTTCCTGATAAACAAAAATTAGAAAATAATTTCTTTTCTTTTCTTTTTTTTTTTCTTCTTCTAAATTCATATAACAAAATACTCTTATATATGTATATATGTACACACATACAAGCACATTGATATAAGAGTATTTTATAATAATTTTGTAAATATTTTAAATACAATTATATAAATAAACTTATATTATTTATTTATATTATATAAAAATTTTCTAATACATATATATATATATAAATTTTTTAAATGAATAAATAAATATATATATATATATATATACATATATATTTATTTACCGTAATAATTATCCTTGAGATCTATCCCATTGTTATATATTTTATCGTCAGCAGCAGCTTCGATGAAAGGATCTAATTTAAAATCCAACAACCATGAAAGATTACCATTCTCTTCTTGATCATCGAATTGATGATATTGTTGTTGTTGTTGTTGTTGTTGTTGTTGTTGTTGTTGTTGATTATCATTATTATTCGTTAAAGATTGCATAGAATTTTGTTGGGATTTCATTCTATTATTCGATGCGGGTAAAGTGATCAACGATTGATGATGATGATGATGGTGATGATGATGGTGATGATTTATGGATTCCCATAAACCATTACGTATTACCTGCTGATAATTATTTTGTGTATCGTCGATCGTACGTAAATCGGTATAAATTATATCGGAATTAGGGTGTCCTTCCAATGAAATCGACGAGGATAATGACGAAGACGACGATGACATCGATGACGATGACGAGGATGACGGTGACGATATTGTTGTCGTACAATTGTTTGTCAATTCTGTTACTTGTTCCTGTATACGTTGACTTTCCAAATCGGACAACGTTGTCCAAGAATAATTGGTACCGTCTACAACCAATACTTTCAAACGCGTTACGGATGAAGCACGTTCGTCGTTATTATTATCCTGACTGATCGTTGTCGAATTGTTTGTGGTAAAAAACGACGTATTATTATCGACGTCCGAAATAAGATCATTCGACATTATCAATTCTATCGGGGTTTCTAATTCTTGCAAATAACGTTTTCTACCATTTTGCCATAATTCCTCGCAAAAACTATTTACGTCTAGATCCTCGTAGATCTTTCTTTTCGATGATTTACCACCTTGGCCATTTACGATCGTATCGTGATTCGAAACGTTACCGTTGTTAGACGATGGTCCTATCATTTTTCTTCGAAAATTATGTTTTTTTTTTTTTTTTTTTTTTCGAAAATTATTTTTCTTCTTCCTTTTTTTTTCGAAAAAGAAAGAGAGAGAGAGAGAGAGAGAAAGAGAGAGATGGAGAGAGAGGGAAAGAGAGAGAAGGGAGAAAAAAAATAGTAAAAGCAAATATGTCTCAAAGTCGAAATTGATCTTTTAGAATTTTCCTGTTTCTTTTTCTTTTCTTTCTTCTATTCTTTGTTATCTCTTGAAAATCGCTTTATCAGATTGAAAATGTATAGAATTTTCGATGAAATCACTATAATCCTATTACTCTCTCTCTTGTGCGTTATGTGGTAATGATCAAAAAAAAAATCTTTGACATATAACATCACTTTTTTCTTTTTTCTTTTTTTTTCCTTCCTTTTTTTTACATGCGAATGTCCATTTTGTATATCGACTTGAATCGTAGCAATACGTACGTTATACGTAAACACACACACACAAGTACATGAACACCAAACGCGCCTTTCCACGTATATTCGGAGAAATATTGTTTTCCCTTCCTTTATTTTTTTTTTTATTCGACCACTTTATCTTTCGAGATAATATATAGATTTTTTGTTCTCTCCCGAAAAGACCTCACGAACGAAATTATTAAGGGATATATTTAATTCTTTACTAATGTATACGATTGTATTTCAAAACACGATCGTTTACTTAACTCTATGAAGTTAACGTTAAAACCATGACAAGACTCTACGAGGAACGAACGTGATCGCGAGTTGACGCGCGATAGACGTTTGTTTTGTATTTCGATTGTTCCGCGGTACGTATGACTCTCGTATGCGCGCGCATCCTATCGACTGCGTTACCTACGCGCATGCGTTGAGTTGCTCAAATTGCTACCGCGCAGGCGTTAACCTCAATTGCTTAATAACGCGCATGCGTAGAAAACTGCGTCAATTTACAAACCCCGCGAATAATAAAATCTTATTCTTACGGTATAATTATATAAACAATTAATCTTTATACATATATATATATGTATTATTGTAATTTATTATTAAAAAAAGTAATTCTTTTCTATTTTTCTGCTGATTTTAAATGACACGTTAACAATTTATTATTAGCAATATGATGATTAGAAAAAGATGAAGAATTTTAATTAACAATTAGCAACATTGAAATTTACATCGAACGATATGAAGAACGATATGAGACATGAGAATGTGTTTTTTTTTCCCCCTCCTTCTGAAAATTGATAGGGAATTTCTTTTTGTTTTTTTTTTCTTTTTTTTTTTTTTTTAGCACGCGAGACGTACGCGTATGACGGGATAGTGTTATTAAGAGGGTGAAGGGGGGGGGATCGACTTAGCGTCGATAAAAACAATTTTCTTGACGCTAGTGATTCTTGTATTAAATACATACGGAAAATTCCATGGATTTCTTTTTTTTTGTTTTTTTTTTTCGCAATTACGATTAATACATAACGCTTATTGGTTTAGTGATTTTTAATTGGAGTATAATCTCGTAAAATAATAATCTTTCATTGGACTGTACAGTAGTTACGTATAGAAGCACACAACACACACACATATATATATATATATATGTACATACGTATCTATATATATATGTATACTTAAAGGGAGAGATATACTTTCTCGATTCGTTTCTAATTCTAGAACGGAATGTACCACGAGTGCATGCACTTACATACAACGGAACGTCATAATCCCGAAGAATGACATTTAAAATTTTGTAGTAAAATCGACGATAAGTGAATACGTTATTTAGAAGAGTTTGTTTTTTTTTTTTTTCAAACAAAAAGATTTCATTTCATCATCGCGGTTAGTCATATTGCATGGATCTTAATACGAAAGAAGGGAAGACGATATGAACGTGAACAACGACGTGGATCAACATTTGTTACACCAATTTAGCTGTTTGGGCACCACGGATAAAGATGATTTAATTAAACAGCTACAAAGATTGTTAGCTGGTAGCCAATTAAATGAGGCAACCGCTGCGTTTTTCTTGGATATGAATAATTGGTAATATGTCTTTTCTGTTAATAATATAGGTTAACTTTTGAATTAAACTTATATACGTTACATTGACATAACCTTTTAATACTCTGTTTACCAATGTCAATAGTTTCTGTTTTTTTTCTTTTTTCTTTTTTTTTTTTATTTTATTTCTTTTTTCTGTTTCTTCCTTTTTTCCTCCCCGAGCTCCCCAACTATCTCCTCCCCCCTTGCCCCTGTCTCCTCTCATTTGACAACAATTATCTTTTACATTTTTCTGTTCAAATTTTTTTTCTTTTCTTTTCTTTTCTCTTTTTTTTTTTTATTATGAAGAAACTTCAAAGAACGACTTTCAGTCGTATGTGTTTGTTTGTTTTTTTTTGGTATGTATGTATGTATGTATGTATGTTACTTATACACAACATATAATATAATGTTTATAAGAAGATAGAAGTTTGATATCATTTGTAAGAAAATTAATATAATCCATCTGATTGAAATAATGATATGTAATATTTTAAATGTTAAATGTAATATTTTGTTTCCATTATAGGAATTTACAAGCGGCGGTATGTAGTTACTTCGATTATGAGTCACCATTCAAACTTCCTTGTATGACGCTATTGTGCGACAGCACCATAGGCGACGGAGAATCTGTTCCGCCTAATACAAAGTTTCAAAAGTCATGGCGAATTCAAAATAGCGGTACTGAAACTTGGCCAAATGGCGTTCGCTTACAACATTCTGCTGGTACACCATTGGGCGATTGTATGAAAGTGCCAGTTCCATCCTTAGCTCCTAAAGAAACGATAGAGATAAGTGTCACTTTGACAAGCCCCGAGGATTTGGGTGTTCACCAAAGCAAATGGAGGATGATAACACCTGCTGGCTCTTATTTTGGTGGTAAAAAGATAATATCATATGATAATAATATATATCATATAGCTAATCTTATAGCTAATCTTATAGCTAATCTTATAGCTAATCTTATTGACATATTTATAATATATATATATATATATATATATATATATATATATATATACCTTATATATGTATATATATTTTATTGATTACTATTTATTCTCTTCTTTCTTTTTTTTTTTTTTTTTTTTTTTTTTTCTTTTATTTTTCCAGACAGTATCTGGGTGATCATAAATGTTAGTGAATGTGGAACATTGGCAGTAACACAACAGCTACATCAATTAAGTACTTCACAGTCTAATGATGTTCAGATGTCATAGCCTTTGACAGATAAAAATTCTCTCCAAACATTTTTGCGACTTATCCTCCACATTTTCAAAGCGCTCTTGCTTTATTCCTAATTTTTCTTTAAAAATACTTCTTTGTTATATAATCTCTTTTCATTTATCAAATAATACTTTTATTTTTCTTATTAATCATGAACGAAATGAATAATTACTATATTTATTCGGGTAACTGAAATTTTTATGTTTTAACAATAAGCCATTATCCTTCATTTGGCTATTTGAAAATTGTTGGTTTAATATGAAGTTTTTATTTCTTACCTTCTTTTATCTTTTGTCTTATTAATTTTCATTTTTATTTTTATTTTTTGTTTCTCTCTCTATCTCTTTTATTTTTTTTTTTTTTTTTTTTTTTTTTTTTTTGTTGAAAGAGAAGTAATATTAAAAAGGACACAAGAGACCCCATAGAGAACGTGTATATTAAATCATGGGGTAAACAAGAAATAAGAGAAAAAAAAAAAAGAAATAAGAATACACTTGTTAATCGTCGCATTCTGAAATGTATGACATGATGTATAAAAATTAATATATTTTATAACGTACATAGAGATTTAATATTTTATTAATATTTTATAATTGCTATAAATAATTAAAGAAAGGAAAAAAGAAAAAAAAAGAAAAAAAAAAGAAAAGAAAAGGTAAACAACAAAGAAATATCAGAGAGAAAAGTAATTTTCCCTTAAGATTTTAATTTTTTTAAGAAGTTAAATACACATATACAATATATAAGAAATATACTTTTTAATTTTCTTTTACTTTTCTTTTTTATTCTTTTTTTTTTTTTTTTTTTTCCCCACCCACCGGCCCCTTAAATAATAATTTACCATAATTATTAACACGTCGTAAACCAACAATGTTCAAATATAATTCATTTGATCTTTTAATAATAAATAATATTTGTGATCGGCTCTATATTCAATTTCGGCTCGGTATTCAATTAAGAAAGTTTGAAATTATCAGTTATCCGGATATTTTTAGTAATTGATATTTTTCATTACAGATTTGAGGACAGAAAAAAAAACAAAAAAACAAAAATAAAAAAAAGAAAAAAAAGGGAAAAAAAAAACAGAAAAAAAATGTGTCTTAAAAAATCTTAATAGCATTGAGGTATGTTCGATAATACATGTGACTTGCACTATATATATATATATATATATATATATATATATATATATATATATATATATATATATAGTATATACATATATATATATTATTAAATAAGTGATACGTGTCTTAAAAAAATGTATTTATATGAAAATTCAGCTACACATCTCTTTGCCTTTTATAACAATAATTTTAATTTCTCTATATATGAGGATATATATATATATATATATATATATATATATATATATATATATATTTCCTTATGTATCACTTCATACAGAAATCGATTAAGATATTACATTATGATAATATTATAAACAAGTCACGTTATTGTGTTTGAGTTGGGAACTGCTTATAGTAAGTCTTCTTATATAATAATCTATACACACAAGCACACATACATAGACATATACACGTAAATAATACAAACATAAAATAACACAAATATACATATGCTTGTCTGCAACCCGTGCTTATATTTCTATCATGTAATTTGTATATAACTTACATGATAGAATTATCATTGTTTATTACATTTTTGTTAATTATATATTCATCAAGGGTAGGGAGGGGAAGGGGAGGGGAGAGGGGTGACAGACTTGCACATGGATAATATCTATATATACATATACATACATATATATATGTATAGATATATATATATATATAAAATGCTATCAAAGAGTATACTTTCTAAGGTACAGGTTTATTAGAAATATAACTTTTATTAGAGATGAAAAAAAAAAGAATAATAATAATAATAATAATAATAAAATAAAATGAAATATAATAAAGTGTAATACTTACTAAAAAAAAAAAAAAGAAAAAGTCACAAGCACAAGATACATTTATTCTATATTCACCAGATCAAAAGTATATATAAAATAATATACTGTTAAGGAAAATTTCTTAAAAAAAAAAAAAAAGAAGTTCTTATTTTTATACTTGTACCTGAAGTCTCTAATAGGAAAGATAAAGAATGAAAAAGAGGAAAAGAAAAGAAAAGAAAAGAAGACAAAAAAGAAAACTCATATTGCCATTTGCATATTAAGTTTTGGATGTGGATTGTAGTCGATTAGCTCAAAATTATCAACCTTAAAGTCATCTATATCCTTAACGTCCCCAATTATTTTCAATATTGGAAATGGCCTCGGTGTACGTTTTATCTGTTCTTTAAGTACCGGTATATGATTTACATATACATGACAATCACCCATTGTGTGCACAAATTCACCTGGCTATCAAAGAGAAATCATTTATTTTTATTATATATATATGTGTATATATATATATATATATACAAAAAAATATATATATATATATATATACTTTGCTGTTTATGATCATAAGATGAAATGTACCTTTAAATTTGTAATGTGAGCCACCATATAAGTTAATAGAGAATATGATGCTATATTGAATGGTACACCTAGACCCATATCAGCACTTCTTTGATAAAGTTGACACGACAATGTTCCATTCTGTACATAAAATTGTACGAGACAATGACAAGGTGGTAAAGCCATTTTTGGGATATCAACTGGATTCCATGCTGTCATTATTATTCTTCTATCATCCGGTGAGTCTTTTATCTTTTGAATAACATCCTTCAATTGATCTATACCTAAATTTTCACAATAATTATTTTTAAATCCATTAAAAAGTTAAAAAATTAATTATAATATATACATATACTTATAAGAACACTTAAATGGTCTAATTATAACTTGCCTTGTCCTTTATAATTTGTATGCATATTTTTATATTCAACACCATAATATCTCCATTGAAATCCATATACAGGGCCTAAATCACCTTCCTCTCTTAATGTAAGACCACAAGAATCAAGATAATCACGAGAAGAATTGGCATCCCAAATATGAATCCCTTTATCTGCCAATTCTTTTGCATTAGTTGATCCCTTAATGAACCATAATAATTCTTCAACGACACCTCGCCAAAAAACTCGTTTTGTGGTCAACAATGGGAATGATCCTATTACGAATAATATTTATTAGAAAATTATTAGAAAAATTTTCTTTCTTTTTTCTCTCTCTCTCTTTTGTTTTTCTTTTTTTTTTCTTCTTTTTCTCCCTTTGTGCTATTTATTCGTTGCACAAAAAAATAAAAGTTCTGAGAATATATATATATATATATATATATATATATATATATATATGTGTTCTGTGTGTATATATAAATAATTTTTGATTTATAACAACATAAGTTAATAATAATAAATGAAGTAAAATATCGGTGCCTGTTTAGCGTGATTTTTGTATAAATGAAATGAAATCGTACATGAATGCTTTTGAATGAATTTAAATAAAAATATTATTAATAAAGTTTGACGATTTGTATCAATAATCTTATAAATGTTAATGCTCATCGTCTTTTGTAGGGATAATTTTCATAAAATTTCAAGAAAATAATAATATATACATATATAGGATATAAAGAGAAAAAAGAAAATTTTATATCTCTCATTAATTTGATTTATTAAATGTTTATTGATTTTTATATTTGTTATTGAAAATAAGAGAGAAAAAGAAAAAAAAAAGAAAAAACAGAAAGGAAGACATACCATTTTGTAAATTGAAACGCATATGCGTTCCAAAAATCGAATAAGTACCAACTCCGGTTCTATCGTTTTTCTTCGCTCCGGTATTAATTATTTTCTCTATTAAATGCAAATATTGATATTCATCATGGTCATGGTCTTCGGATTTATTGGAATTATTTAATTCCTCTGTTACTTCATTATCATTCTTTCGAGACATAATGCAACTTTTTTTTACTTAATAACCTTTAACAGATATCCTCACACTCACACGTTGTAAATGCATAGAGGATGTATGCATTTGATCGAAGACATTTTTTCAGATCTATTTTTTTAAAAAGTTTATCATTAAAATTAAACGTTTGTTAAAATATTATTATAAATTATTCTAATCTAATGATATAACATGAAAATGCCCATGAACGCACTAACGCTCATTTGTGAATGTAATTTAATATATAAATATAAGATGTTTATTTGAGTCTGTTATGAGATGTTTTTTTTGAAATATTAAATATATATCGTATAAAAAAGAAAAAGAAAAAAGTAACATTATTTTTAATAATCTTAAATGTTTAACGAAACATTTGAAATAAAAGGATTTCGATATTTCAATTAAATATAATTATGCCGTGCATTGATATAATCGAACGAAATTTTGTTCATTTTTATTTATTAATTATTAAAGAAAAGAAAAATATCAATTCAAGTTTGCCGCCAATTCGTGTGGCGCTGTTGTCACCGCGTAAGCGAATAATCTATGGTCTAAAAATTTTACAAAGAAGTATAAATGCAGATGTAATTGAATTGTAATTATTTTTTCGATAGATCGATGTATTATTAATAAAAAAAATGACGAAAGAATAATAATTTGATTTTTCTTCTCTGTTTTCTTTTTTTTTTTTTTTTTAACATTAAATTTCATTCGTCTTTTCATTCAATCTGTCGATATTGTATTTTTAATTTTTGAAAGGTTGGTAATACTGGATTGTACCATAGGACGAATCAATCAGAAGCCTCGTTTAAGGATATTATGTAGTCTTTCTCAGTCTATCTCGATTCCTTGGGTTAATTTGTATTATTGACGTAATTGTGAACGTTGTAATTACGTTTGTGCGTGCATACCATAAGATTAAAAAAATATTTCTATTACGATATATATATATTAATTAATAATCAACATGATCATTCCTGTGAGGTGTTTCACTTGTGGAAAAGTTATTGGAAACAAATGGGAGGCATATCTTGGCTTACTACAGGCAGAGTACACCGAAGGGTAAATTAATTAATTAATTAATTAATTAATTACGTACATAACCTCTAAAATATTGAATTTTATATATTAATCATTATCCATACATATTTATTCGCTATATTAATTTTTTTCCTTATGTAAAAAAAAAAAGTATGAATTTACATTACATACATAACCTCTAAAACATGAAATTCTTTATTAATCATCGTCATTCATATACATTTTATTCATTTATATTCATTTGTCCAATAGTAGTTTCTTATGCATTAAAAAAGAAAGAAAAAAAAAAAAAAAGAATAGAAATCTGTTCATAGATATATAACCACGAAAATGTGAAATTTTTAAATTAAAAATTATCCGTTCGGTGTATATTTATTTATTTAAAAAAAAAAAAGAAAAATATCTTTTTTCGTTTCGTTTTTATTTTTAACCAAGATAAACGATATAAGGGATCTATGAGGAAATTAAGAAAAGTTGGACAAAAAATTTAGAGAAAACAAAATTTTATGGATCTTTATGGGATAATTCTCGTAAAACGGTCGTTTGCGTAATGTTTCAGTGATGCTCTTGATGCATTGGGTTTGAAACGATATTGCTGTCGCCGAATGCTGCTTGGACATGTGGATCTTATTGAGAAACTACTTAATTATGCACCTTTAGAAAAATAAATATATATATATATATGTATGTATATATAAATGTATATATATATATATATGATAGTTCGATAAGCATTTTGTTCAGCATAGTTTCTCATATTGAATCATGATTTATAATAACATTATCATAATAAGATTTACTATGTATAAAAGTCTAAGCATATATATATAATTTTCTTTTCTTTTTTTTTTTTTTTTTTTTTTTTTTTTTTTTTTTTTTTTTTTTTTTTTTTTTTTTTTTTTAATACAATTTTTGTAATTATTAAACATTTAGTAAGTATGTTAATTAATTAAAATATAATAACTTAATCGTATTCTCATTTGTATAATAACGAAGAAAAAAAAATAGAAACTTTAGGAATTAGGATTTAGATCGAATAATATTGGAAAGAACATATGATTATATTATAAAATCTTTGATATGTTCAGCCAGTGAAATATATATATATTTTTGTATGATCATTAGAAAAAACAAAAATTATTAATTATAATACAAAAAATTTGAATTAGCATAAAATGGTTGATATTACTGTTTCTCACCAATTTAATGATTAATAGTTTCTTTTTCTTTTTTACTTTTTTCTTTCTATTTCTTTTTTCTTTTTACTTTTATTTTTACTTTTTTTTTTTTTTATAATTTAAATTGAATCTAATTGAATTTGAGAAATCAATTGTAACTAAAATACATCATTAATTACATATCATTATTAAATGCGTTACAGAAAAGTTAAATTCTGAGAGAGAAGGCTCAAGTTTTTAATTATTACCTTAAAATGTGGTTTTGTCAAATTATAGAATACATAGATATGAAAAATACTAATAACAATTTATTATTCATTTTCATTTGATTCATTCATAATAATGCATACAGATATGAATTATGAGAGATAATTTATCTAATGGTTTAAACAAAATTTTCTTATGCATGATGAGAAAACCCAATTTATGAGACCTCAATTCTTTTTAGAAATTCTGAATGTACAGAATAATAAGAAATCTATTTTATCAATGATTTCTATATTTAATCAACTATTTGAATATACAATTTTTATTAAAGCACTACGAGATCCAAATACTAAAGCTATTATGCTAATTACGCATATAATAATATTTTTCACTGCTATCCAATTAGCTGGCCCAAAACCGGTATCCCAATATGTAACGATTTCAATAAGTGCAGGCATGAAAAGTCCCAATATGGAAAAACAAAATGCCCCAATTAAACTAATGAAAGGTCCAATATTTGGCACAGCTACCGCAAGTAATACTGGATAAAAGAAAGAAAAAAAGAAAAAAATATATATACATATAATTAATAATCAATTAAAAATATTTCTAATATAATTAAATATAAAAATTAAAAATGTTTACCTGCTCCGGTAACCATAGTTGTTCTTAAAATATAATTTGCTAAAAGTGGTTTCTTCTGAAAATGATCTTTAATTCCAGTCCATGCAATATCTAAGCATACATAAAATTGTAATCCAAACGTACAATAAACTGCTAATCCAATTAAAATTTGAACAACTTGAGCCGGGCTATGTGAAAAATAATAATTATAAAATTGTATTTATATTTTAATATAAATAATTTATTAATATTAATAAATAATAGATATATCTTACATTTCTCGGGTGGGTAAATTCAAGGTAATGCTATCCAATGTTAAATCTTGATATTTGATATAACCTAAAAATCCAAGAAGAATATATATAAGAGTTACGCCAGACATTCCTTTATTGAGAACTCCACAAATTCCTATGATATGTTGCGGTGTTTTCATATTATTTTCCAATGGCATAATGACACCTGTAAGAACATTATTATTTATTTTTCTTTTTTATTAATTAATATTCATATGATATATATAAAAGATAACCTTACCAATAGCTTCCATGGCAAAAACTGTAATGCTAAAAAAGTGAGGGAAATTTTGAATAGGTGCTGCCAATGGTACAGTATTAATTGGTGGAAGATCCCATACTAAATAATAAAATGTTATTCCCAAGCCAGTACCCATAAATATATTAGCTACCATGGAAACTGGTGCAAGATATTTTAAATTGGGTATCCAGCTGAGTAATATCAAAGGTATTAACAGGCAAGCTGTAATTTCACGTATAATAGTATCCTCTAATGCACTTTTATTATAATGTTTAATTACTTTTTCAAAATTCGCAGCAACGATAACTGCGTACACACTGCAGGTGCCAAAATATGTTGTGAATAAACTAATTTGTATGATATATCTGTAAGAAGAAAAACAAAAAAAAAACTCTTTTATATATAATTTTTCAACATAAAATAGAAAAACGATAATATATTATTATATATAATTTCAATGAGATTATATACCTAGATGGTTTGGCAAGTTTTGTTGCCCATCGTGGTCCCATAGAAAATGCTACTTCTGCTACATCAGCAAAGTCCATTTTTGTTCTTCGCGTTTTATGATAAAGAACGTGTGCACATTTGACCTAAAATATATTCATCATAAGACAAACAGAACATTTATTTTTATTAAATTATTTATTCTTATTAAAATATATTTCTAAAAGATCTTTCATTTACTTACTAAAATATACGCACAATGCGTACAAATAAAAGCAACGAATATTGTTGCAAATATTCCAACAAGAAGACCAGCATTTTTGAAAGCAACAGGCATAGCCAATATACCTGTCCCAAGAGAAGCTTTCAATAAATGTGTCAATGTATCGCAATCCCTAAATGTATAAAAGAAAAAAAAAAGGAAAAAAAATAAAAAGAAGAAGAAAAAGAGAAAAGCAAAAGCTTAGAATATTTTCAAATTATTTGTCGTATAAAACAAACATTTTTTTATAATTTAAATTATTATCTTACGTTGTAGGATTGTCAACTTTGCGTTCGGTGAAAGGATTAAATGATTTTCCTTCCTCAATGTCTTTTGGTGCTACTTGTACTTTGTATCTAAAATGATGAAATAATTATTTAAATGATTAAATAACTTTGATATTTTGAAAAAGAAACTTTTCTCATATAGGATATACATATCATTTATCATATAACATTATAATTAAGTTATTATTTATTTTCCCTTTATTTTTTTCTATCATATAATCAAAAAGAAGTTTTATCATGTGTGACAATGTAAGAAAAAAAAAAAAAAAAAAAAAAAAAAGAAAATTATCAAATGTGCAAACACATATAACGTCATACAATATTGATACATGTTTTTGATAATAATATTACATGAGACTGACAATTCCAAATTTTCTATTCTTGATAATAATAAATAATGTGAATTAAAGACAGGAGATAAATTGCAGATTGAATGATACAAATGAAATTTATTTATATTATTGAATAAATCATATTACTGTTAACAAATGTTCATTAATTTATTCCTTTTTTTTTTTCTTTCTTTTAAATTTGTTCTTTAAAAAAAATGACACTTATTGTTATTTGATTGTTATGAACGTATTGACATAATTTTTTTTTCTTTTCTTTTTTTTTTTTCATAATAAAATAAATTGATTATAAATAATTATATATGATAAATGATATGTATATATATATATATATATATATATATATATATATATATATAAAAAAGGAAAGAATTGAACAAGAAAGTTTCAGATTATCATTTTATTTATCATATTTAAATCATAATAATCTATATTCTTAACATATATCTAAGATAAATGTTAAGAATAAATAGATAATTATTTACTTGGCTGGTAGAACACCATCTTTTATTGTATTAGTATCATCTTGAGGTAGAAAAGTATCCAATTCTGTTGGTGGTTTATTATTAGCGGCCGCCTGTGTGTTAAGAAAAGAAATTGAAAAAACAAAAGAGAGATAGAGAGAGAGAGAGAGGGAGAAGGAAAAACAAAAATAGTATACAAAATGATATCAATTGAGATAAGATTTTCAAAAGACATGCGATAAATAACAATGATTTATAATATGGAAAAGTTCTTCAAACTTACCATCTTGAAATTTTCTTCTATCTTGATTTATCTTCTTAGACCTCGATCACCTGAACAAATAATTTTTTATTTTTTTTTTTAATTATCAAATCTTAGTTAATGAATAAAAATTAAGAAAAATAATATAAATATATATATGTATATTTGATGAGCTTCATTTTTTTTTTTTTTTTTTCATTCGACACAAGATCATTAGTGTAAAAAAAATTGTTTTGTTTGTCCCCTACCTGCCCCCCCCCCTTTTTATTAACAATAACAAAATCTTTGTGAATGGAATAGAAATAAAGAAATAAATAAAATAATTATTTAATTATCTTTTTCATATATTTCATCTTTTCATTCATATATTCAATTCTATTATTATTACTTATTTATTTATTTTTTTTTTGTTTTTTTTTTTTTTCAATGTCAGGGTAAGCATTCTAATTATCTTTTGTATATATACACGCATTTAATTAATTAATTTATTTATTTATTTATTTATTTATTTATTTTTCTTTTTTTTATTGCAATGTTCCACTAATTACTTACTTTGTCAATAAATCTATTTGATAATAAAATCTTATCGGGAAAGGTCGACTTGCAACTTTCAGACTTTGTCTTTTAATATTGATTCAAGATAATTAAATAAAAAAATTGTTCCCTCCCTCTCTACCTCCCCCTCCCCCTCTTTCTCTCTCTCTCTCTCTCTCTTTCATTTAACATCTAATCAGACTTATTACATACTTGTTATTTTGTAAATTATGAATATATAGTACGCTGATGATGTATTTCCTACGTTCAAAGTTTAATGGAAAATTTAATATGATTTATATTATTGATAATAAGTGGTGTTTCATTTATAACTTCAATATTGACATTTTGTTTGAGTTATAATTAAGAGAGAAAGAAAGAAAGGGAAAAAAAAAAAAAAGAAGAAAAAAAGAGATCGTTCATTTTTTTTACATACTATTTATTTATTAATTGGTACACATATATATATATATATATACTTTTGACAATAACAATCTACTTTGTTTTGTAAAAAGCAATAATGAAATTATATCGTAACTAAAACGAAATCATTCAATGTTGTTACATATATATATATATATATATATATATATATATATATATATATATATATTTATTTATTTATTTATTTATATATACATTTTATGTAAATATATATACATATATAC